GCGCTGGGGATGGCCAGCGCCTCGCGCGTCGCGGCCCTGGCCCAGAGCGGCCTCCCTTCTACAGGGCGGGGCGGCGCGAGGGCGCGAGGGCGCGAAGGTCAGGCGCCACAGGGGGGGGGGCGCGAAGAGGATCGCGCGTCGCGCGTCGCGGTCTCGACCAGAGCGGCTGCCCTCCTCCAGCGGGGGGGGGGGGCGAGAGCGCGCGGGGGCGTCGAGAGGATCGCGCGTCCCGCGTCGCGGGGCGCGGTGCGCGAGGTCGGGCGGGCAGCCTAAGGAGTACGGGGGCAGCGATCAAGCAGTGAGCTCACCATGGAGAGGCCCCCGCCTGAGCTCAAGGAGTAGTCCGATGAACAGAGAACCTTATGATGCTCCAACCCACTTGAGCCTTGGGCACCAGCGAGAGTTTCGAGCACCAGCGGAGTACCGAAACTGGAGGGTTTTCACGTGTATCGGGTCCTGGGAGGTGATACTCGTTCGACACTTCGCGCCATCGTGTCGGGCAGACGTTGTTTCGGTAGTTCTCTGGGTGCTCGGAAGTATTCAAGGGATGTGGCCCTCACGATGTGAACAACATTAAGATAGACGCGCAATCCTACCGCGCTGTTTCTGTCCGCTGGTGAGATGATCTTGGCCCGCATCTTCTCGTGGGCCCAGCTTGCATTTGCACTTTCTATGGGCACGCGTTGCCGTTCGACGGTGCTGCCCTGTCAGTGTAGGTCAGTCGTGTCACCCTGATCTGCGAGAGAGCAGACCATGCGCAAGTTCTGAGTCCGAGCAGGGGCGGAAATGGGGGCGCTCATCCGCCCGTGCCCATGGTTCAAATCGCATTCCGTGACGCAAAAGAGATCCGCGTGACGCCCCTTCATTTCATCCTTTGGACGGCTCGACCGACTACGAAACACTCGGGCATTCGAGTTCCAGGAAGCTGCCCAGCAAGCCAGGAAGCCACTGGATGTCAGGCGGGAGCTGTACGGACCTCCCGCCTGAACTCGAGAAACGAGGGGGGATCCGTACAGTTTCGCACGCACGGGGGGCCGCATCCGAGTGTTTCGGAAACTTGCTTCCCAGTATGGCGCCACGCGGGTCCCCGCGCGGTTCGCCAGATCACGCCCGCATGTTTTGTGCATCATGATCTGCGCGATGGAAGAATATCCTTGTCTTCACGCTTCGCGTATCCCCACCGGCCCATTTACAAACCCTGTCTGTGAGAGCACACAGGAAACGGGACGAAAAGACACATACAGTGAAACAGAGCGGGCACTTCGGGTGTACAGAGATCTCTGGAGCAAGGTGGTGGCCTTGGAGGGCCTCGTCGGGTTATCCCTGGGGCCCGCGTGGGGGCGAGGGAAGGAGGAGGAGGAGCAGAAGGAGGAGGAGGAGGCGGAGGAGGAGGAGGAAGAGGAGGAGGACCATGAGGAGGAGGAAGACGAAGAAGACGAGGAAGACGACGGCGACGACGTCGACGACGGCGAGTACGACGACGACGACCACGACCACGACCACGACGACGAGGAAGAAGAGGAACATGAGAAGGAAGACGATGAGGGCAAGGATGAGGTCGAGGAGGACGACGAGGAAGAGGAGGAGAAGGAGGAGGAGGAGGAGGAGGAGGAGGAGGAGGAGAAGGAGGAGGAGGAGGAGGAGGAGGAGGAGGACGAGAACAGAGCCCTCAACATCGCCTCTTGGAGCCCTCTTTGGGCTTTTTTGGGGTATCTTGGGGTTCCTTTTGGGCTCTTTTGGGGGTCTCGGGGCCCTCGTGGTGCTCTCTTGGGGCTCTCTTGGGGGTCTCCTGGGAGCCGTGGAGGGCTTTTCGGGGCCATCGTTAAGTGTGTCGGTGAAAAAAGAGGGGTCGACACGTTTGAAAGAGCGTGTTCCGTTGCTGGCAGAAAACCGGGGGGTGTCACTGGGGGTTTTCAACCCGTCCCCCCCCCTTCTCGAAAACCGGGGGGGGTCACTGGGGGTTCAACCCACCCCTCCCCTCCTCGCCCCCAGTCCATCATGAAAAGGGTGGAGGTCAATTCCGGTTCGAACCCCTCGCCTCCCCTCCTGGAGAACCATGGGGGGGGGTTCATTACAGGTTCGACCCCCCCCCTCTCCTCCCTCCCCCCTCGCCGCAACGACTCCCCCTCCTCTCCCACTCCGGATGGGGGACTGGTGGGGACAGTGGTTGGGACGGGGGTGGGGATTGTGGTGGGGAGTGGGGACTGGGAAGAGTGGGACCGTGGTGGAGACAGTGGTGGTAACAGTGGGGTCAGTGCGACAGTGGTCGGGGCACTGGGGACAGTGGGACAGTAGTGGGGACAATGGGGACAGTTGGACAGTGGTGGGGACGGTGGTGGGGGGGATAGTGGTGAGGGCGGTGGTTAGGACGGTGTTGGGACAGTGGTACAGCACAGTCGGACAGCGGTGGGGACAGTGGGAACAGTGGGACAGTGGTGGGGACAGTGGGGACAGTGGGACAGTGGGACAGTGGTGGGGACAGTTGGGACAGTTGGGGGAT